CAAGCGTACGTACACAGTAACAACAGTAGTAGTAGTAACACACACAAACACACACACACACACACACACACACACACACACACACACACACACACACACACACGCGCGCGCGCGCGCGCGCGCGCGCGCGTTTGTAGCCGCGCCAGTAAGTAGCCGCGGCTACTGTATGGCGGTAAGTACTATTGTCGGCCGGCTTTATAACTCACCAGTTATTAAGTAGAGAAGTGTGTATTAATTACTAGAGTTCCATAACACCAAAAAAGCAATTTGTATAAATGACGACTAAAGTATGACAACCGATGTTTTTCTCGCACATATCAAAACTGTGACTTAAGCGGCTGCGGCGAAAGCGACCCCTACTTCGTAGGACAGAATAAAATTATATACAATAATTCCTGGTTTGCATGTTTTAGCTCAGAGTAATAAATTGCCTAAATTTATGCATCCGCAATGCCGCTGCGTCTGTGTTCCGCCCGTCCGTCCGTGGTCGGTGGGGAGTGGGGTCAAAATTAGTGTCACATCTATAACCGCGGCTGTACGCAACGGTGCTATATTACTCCTGGCCATACCGGAACAATTAAAAAATCATTTGGCGGTAAATCTGGAGTCAGTGGTTTAAGGTCAGGTATTGTGAAGGGTTTGGAAATATGCAATGCTAAGGTATAGAACCCACGTTGAGGAATCACAGAATTGCGGCGCAATTGTCAACTTCTATCTATATGCTCGCCTCGTCTCGATCGATCGATCTATCTTGTCTCGAGCTATGCTCGTATAATATTCGGTATACACGCGGCGCCGCGGTGCGAAAAGCACTTATTTTGGAAAAACTGATGATCAGAGGTTTAATGATAATGAGGCAAATGACAGATCTCCGATATGTTTGGAAGAACAGTGGTCTGACGGGTGGAATGCAAAACTATTATTTTAGTATAGTGGCCTACCATTTTCACGACTGTAATAATGACTACAAATTGTACTTTCTACAGAACGCAAACTATAGTCATCCAGTGACTATTTGACCCTCAAGAAGAGGGCTAAACATTGATTTGTTTACTTTTAGCAATGTACTGAAATGCTTTTGCTAATAGAGTCCATATATACCTGTGTAAATATAAAAGGTTATACGTAACCTGGCTAAAGCTCGGCTGTACAAGCTAGGGAACTCACTGTCTCTCTTTCTCACGTTTTCTTCACTGAGGTGAACCCGGTCACTCTTTGGCAGTATGATTGATACACCTGTCGAACGAGTGTATACTGATTTACTTAGTGAGATTGTATGTATGTGTGTATTGTATGTATACTGATCCAGGAGGCCGGTACGATGGTGCGGAAATCAAAGCAGCGTTTTTAAGTGACGAAATTTCTTAATGAGATGGTGAGTTGAGATGGTGATAACTAAAGGCTCGTGACATAGGAAATAATTGACGGTAACAAAACGAGATATATCATAGCATAGCACAGAAGCAGTAGCTTTCAGTGATTATACAAACAGAGGAGAACAGACTAGGATCTGTATGGTACGATCTGCTTTTTATATTTATTTTAATTAGTTCATTATGTGGAAAATATCGATTTATTGTGAGAAGTAAAACACTCAAAAAATATATTGCTGGTTATACGAAATTAAGAATTTAATCTCGAAATGTCTATATTTAAATTTCTGAAGTGAATTACTAGTCACGATGTCTGAATTTTGTAATATACGACAATGGCACGAGGCTATATGTAAAGCCAGGGTCATGGCTCCCGATAACGCATATCGTTGCTATGAACACGATGAACTATACTCACAAGTTCACAGCACCGCTACATCTAACCGAGTAATCCAGGAAAGCCGCGAAATCGTCCGATGCTCGCCGATTAGGCCATACGTGCGACTTACAAGTACCTACACGTGCGATAAAGCCACGTGCATGAGCCGACAGATGCACGTGCATA